GGGAGGTAGCTCAGTGGCACCATGCCTGCCTGGCAAGTGCAAGGTTCTGAGTTCAATCTCTGGTACCAGAAAAAAAAAATCCATACTATATTCTATTTCTGAACGCCAGACTAAAAAATGAGTTATTATGATTAGTGATTTTACAATTTCTCACCAATACAAATTAGACAAGAATTTGTATAAAAGCACAGCCTCAACCTGTTCCTGAAGATGCATTTTGGAAAATGTCACTAGACATGCACCTTCTAATGTTGGTCATCACTATTGTTTTAGAATACACAGATTTAGAAGGAAACATTGGAGTAGTTGTGTATGTCTCTGTGGATTGCTTAATGCATAAAGTAATAACGTCGTGTATTTCATTCCACTGACATCCTTCTAGCCTTCTTTCTTACAAGAAAAGTGCGTCTTTCTTATATGGAAGCACTTATGCAGTCTCTGGAGTCCACTCCAGGAAAATTTGTTCTAATACCACAACAAGCACAACAGATGCAAGTTATGCATATTAGAGTGGCTTGTCTCTGAAAGGGAACAATCAAGATTCCTCTGGCAGTTACCAGAACCTATTTCTAAATAGCCTGCTCCCAGCAGAAAACCAGCTTGATTTCTTTGCTCTGATATCTGCCTTGCACATCGCCATGTTTTATGAGACCTAATCTTTTAAATGTTTGAGCCAGTGAGTTTTCCATTTCTGTCTTTAATAGGTAGTAGTTCTTTAGAGTTAGTTCTGTGAGAAAACTCTTAAGCATTATGTGTCAGCTAGATCCTTTACACCGTCACGATCTTCAAAAATCTCACTGTCTGGAGGGGAAAATAGGCAGAAAGTGAATTAAAGTGTAGTGTGTAAGTGTTTAAGATGGTATGATCACACAGAAGGGAGGGAGAATACCCTGGAGGAGAGTGTGCTTATGGATTTAACAGCTTACTAGTTTTGCCACTCTTAAAATGTTGTGTTGGAGATCACGGTGAATATTCACCTTGTGAGTTAGCTATGCTGTATTAAATTTTCTAGTTAATGTTTTCTGGGGGGAGACATTATTTCACCTTCATTTTATCCCAGACAATATATTAATGAGCTATTCTGTCAGGAATGGTAGCAGCAACATATTTTTTTTTAAGAGCTTTTGGGCATAGGATGTTTAGTTCTATGTTGAAAATACGTTAAATTATAAAGCACAACTCCTTTGGGAAGGTATGATCTTCATGGGGATGTAAAATTTAGAGAGAGAACAAATACAGCACAGCAGAAACTTGAACTGCTGCAGACCTGTCTCATTCTGCCACTTCAATTATTTTTATTATGGTAAAATACATATAACATTTACCATCTTCACCATTTTTAAATATGCAAGTCAGTGGCATTAAGTATGTAACAGTATGGTACAACTGTAATTACCACCCATCTCTACTCTTTTCATCTTGCAAAACTGAAACTATACTTGAGAAACAGTAACTTCCCATTTCCTCTCCATGAGCTCGGTAGAAACCATTCTGTTTCCTGTGTCTATATCTTTGGTTACTCTAATTATCTCATGTAAATGGAATCATATGATATTTGCCTTTGTGAGTGGTTTATTTCATTCAACATGAAGTTCTCAAAGTTCATTCATATCCATATATATTAATATATAGGTAGATATAGATAGATATCTAGAAATGGTTTTGTTAGATCATATGGTAGTTTTTTAAAGATTTCTTGAGGAACTGCCATCCTATTTTCCATAGTAGCTGTATGTACAGACATTCCTAGCAACAGTATTAAGGTTTCCTTTTTTATACACCTTGCCAACATTTGTTATTTTTATCTTTTTTGATAATAGTTATTCTAGCAGTTTTGAGGTTATATCTTTTTGTGGTTTTGATTTGTATTTTCCTGCTGATTCGGTATGTTGAACATTTTTACATATACTGTTTGGCCATTTGTGTATCCTCTTTTGAAAACTGAAATTCTGCTTTAAATCGTTTTGAGTACGGTAAATATCCGAAAGTAGAGATCACTTGGTAATTCTATTGTGAGTTTTTTGAGGAACTGCCACACTCTTTTTCCCCGGTGTCTGCTCCCTTTTACTCTTTCTGTGCAGTGCACAGGTTCCGATCGCTCCATGCCCTCACTGACGTGAAGATGTTCTGGGCTCTTTGATAGCAGGCATCCTACTGATAGGGAGATGGATGGGGTCACTGGTGCTTTGATTTGCATTTCTCTAGTGACCAGTGATACAGAATATATATTTTAATATGATTATTGGCTGTTTGTATTCTTTCTTTGGAGAAATGTCTTTCTCAACTTTTTGTCTTCTTTGAATTGGCTTTTTTTTGTTTTTTTTACCTCTTTTTATTGTGCAATAAAAGATTTGTTTAGAAAATGTTTTCAACCTCAAAATCATACTTGGAGCTATTTATCTTGTCAACTATTTCTATTTAAATTTGTTACATTAAAACAAAATAACAATCTATGAGAGGAGGTTCATATTGATTATACATATCAGTGTTGCTGATGTTATTATATGTTTATTATATATGTTTAAATCTATCGAGACTTAATTTCTAGACTTGCTTGGTTCACTATTCATTTATTTCCTTTATTTTCTTACTTTTACTTATTTTCTGCCTGTTTTTTTCTATCCATTATTGAAATTGAGATACTGAAATCTTCATTTTTATTTTTTTTTAGTTTTAAACATCAATTTAATGAAGTGGGTAGTATTTTCTTTTGTTTTTCATACTGGAGATTGAATTCAGGACCATGTGCTTGTAAGGCAGGTGGCAGCACCATTGAGCTAAATCCCTGGCCTTGTGAAGTGGATAGTTTTTTTTTGTTTTATTTATGTTTTGTTTTAGTTTTTGCTAGACTGAGGGGATTGACCCTACTGGACTTCACACTCAACTATGTCCTCAACTCTTTCTAAATTTTTTACTCTGAGACATGGTCTCACTAAGTCACTAAATTACCCACACCGTGCTTGAATGTTCAGTTCTCCTGCCTTAGCTTCTCAGAGTGCTGAGATTACAAGCCCCAATTATTATAAAATTAACCCAGATTTTGATTTTTGCTTCCTATATTTTGATGGTTTGCTATTAGGTGTAAAATATATATATAAGCCAGCACTCATATCCACATCCTTTTAATCTACAGCACCCCCTGCCTGCACCCAGTAAAGACAAAATAGTTAATAGAAACAAAGCCTCACAAGACCTTCCAGTTCCAGAGTAGTGCTTCGGGACTGGTGTGTAGAGAAGTGGATTATGAGATAGACCAAGACAAAATACTGGACAAAGCAGAAATTCATAGTCTGAATTGAAAACTCTAAGTGCAGAATTGTAGGAAAGATTTCAGGCAAAAGCAACTAGGGATTTTGTGGAGAGGCAAGACAGAGCCTAGGAATTTGTAAGGTCTGTTTTCAGTCCAGCCCAAGGAGGAAGTCACTTTTGATGGTTGATTCCTTCACCTATTGGTATTAAAAGGACATAGTAAGGGGAGTGTGGAGGGGGTGAAGGGAGGGCAGGGGTAAGGGGAAAAATGAGAACCAAGACCTGTCATGTAAAGGTACAAGTTCCCAGTGATGTACTGTATACCTAAAAGGTACCAATAAACTCAATGAGAAAAAAAAAGACAGTATTCTGAGCCTGAATTTTAACAGTAACAGTAAGATGTGAGGTCATTTGTGTCTTACAGGAATTATACAGCCAGGAGTTAAAGTTGTTATAAGGGTGGTCCTATTTCATGTTTTTCCAAGGTTTATATTTCAGAACATACTTTTTGAAGTTTGTACATTGATGAAAATGTCCTAGGTCTGCCACATTTCAAAAGCTCAATAGCTGCCTAGCTATTGGTACTGGTTACTATATTGGATAAAAAAGTAAAACATGGGTTCCTTTTGTTCATTGTTTAAAATTTTTTAAACATAATACATACATGAATAAAATACCAAAGTGTTCATAAAAGTGAAAAGGAAGGTCCTTTCTCATCAGTCTCTTTTGTTTTTTAAAGGTATTCACTATCGGAACTCCCCCTTTTACCCTTTCTGGAGAGGAAAAGCATATCCGTCACAACTTTAAAAGCATTTTCTTTCTATGAATTTATAAACTTATTATACTAGGGGCATGTTTTTGTCTTTTTAATTTGAAATGGTATCTTGGATGTCTTGATAAAATATTGCATTTAGTTCTACTTCCTGCTTTTTAAGTTTCCCCAGTTTTCCATTGTTTTGGAATGGAATTTATCAGATCTACATCCATAGACTTTTACATAATTTTCAATTTTTGCTATTCGTATATTGCTGTAGTATATTTCTAGCAATACAATTACTACATCAAAGGATAAAAATGAAGTCTCTTAAAGGATTATCTAATGGTCTTCCATGTTAATGTTTCTACCCAAGTAAGGAATTCAGAAGTTGGGGCTAGGGTAGGGCATAACAATAAAAACTGTTAAGAAAAGGAACCAGAGATAATATAAAGATAAAGAAACTCTGGCTGTTTGATAGAAGTGATAAATTCTTGTATTAGTAATTTTTAAATTGTCCTTTAAAGTTCCATTAGTATAGTCCTTCCTGGGGAAGTTTAAGAAAAATACTTTAAATGTCAGTATGCTTTATGGAACTTTCTAAATCAAAAAGTATCTTTTTTATCACTGCTTATGTCTTTAGTCTTATTATAACGATAGTACATGTTTATTGCAAGTAATTTGGAAAATATACAAAAGCATAAATTTGAAAACATTTCATCTAAAACATCACTGCTTAGAGATAACCATATCAATATGTTAATTTCTTATTTCTGTATATATGTTAGTTTTTACAGTTAAGATCATACAGGAACTGGGGATTTAGCTCAGTGGTTCTGCTGCCTGCCTCGCAAGCACAAGGACCCGAGTTCAAACCCTGGTACCCCCCCCCAAAAAAAAAGATCATATTGTATATGCTTGTGTTATATTCAGCCTTCCTTTGATCATGTTGATTTTATTTTCTTTCATTATTCTTTGCCTACGTTTTTTCTTTTAGGCAACAGAAATCTAACATTGTTTTGGAATGAGTTCAGATACCAGAATAACAAGAATGCAGAGAAATCTTTAGATTCTATTCAGTACCAAAGAAGACAAGCCATGGCCATCCCATTCATCATACAGTGTGGTGAGTGTTGAATTCCATTCCAATTAGCGAATGTTAATGAATTTCTAAATATAAATATAAATGGTGTTAAGAAGTGGTGACTAGGGAGACTAAGATGGAGAAAACAGTTTTCTTGCTTTTTTTTTGCGTTGTTCTAGGAGGTCACAATCTAGGAGAGAGATTAAAATAATTATAATACAGGGGAAATTAGGTAAGTGAGATAACAGAGGCAAAGGAGAGTTTAAGAAAAAGCAGTGGGGATTAGTGGCAAGATTTTGTCCTGGAGGTAATATCGCCATGGTCTTTACCCTTGGACTTCACTAGCGGAAATGAAGCACAGGGGAAGGTGAGCCAATACCAACGGTATACTTCAGCTAAAATATCTGTTGAAGAAAAATAAAAAAGTCATTTTTGTATTTTTAGTATGTGACACTGTGTCTAATACATAGTAGGAATTTTTTGAGAATTGAACGAATATATAATGAATAAATAATAAAAAACAAAAATATTATTTTGGGTATATATGTTAGAAGCTTTGAAATCCAGGATGAGGTTTTACTTCGATAAATAATAGGGAGGTATTGGACATGTTTCAACAGCAGAATAACATCACTGTGTCATGAACAATTAAAGTATTTTCTGGCCATTACATAAAGGGCTAATTTTTTTTAATCTTACTATTTATTGGTACTTTTGGAATTTTTTTTTTTTTTTTTTTTTGATACCGGGGTTGAACTCAGGACCTTGAACTTGCAAAGCAGTCACAGTACCACTGAGCTAAATCCCTGGCCCCTGAGCTAACTCCCCAGCCCCAAATTTTTGTTTTGGATTTTTTTTTGTGGTACTTTTAAAGTATACAGTACAGTTACATTCATCATTGGGATCTTGTACCTTTACATGACAGGTCTTGGTTCTCATTTTTTCCCCATACTCCTGCCCTCCCTTCCACCCCTCCACCCTCTCCTATTTACAAAGACTTTGTTTCCATTTTTTCCTTTTCTCATATTTTTTCTTGTCCCTTATTTCCTTTCCCCTACCCTTCCCACAGGGCTAATTAAAGACAGTCTACTTTCTGTAACAAATAATTCAGTGAATAAGTCAGACAAGTACACAAAAAAAGTCCCCTATGCTATGTAAGACTTTATAGACATCTTTACACAGTGCCAGAGGAGCCCTCCCCAGCCTTTTACTTGGGAACCTTGCAGGGACAGCCGGACCAGTCAGCAGTAGCTTGCAGTAAGGCCCCTCTGGGAAGGATGATTTGGGGCAAGACCAAAACAAAAGGAGGGTCAAACCTCCTAGGATATGCTGCTGTTGTGATCTGAGATCTAGTGAGAAATTGTCAGTGTCCAAATTAATGCATGACAGTGAGATTTAAGAGAAACATGCATGCTAGATGTTTCAAAGATATGACTGAGGAAATTGATTGGCAGTATGCAAAAACCTGTTGGGTGGTAATAATAATGTCTATCAATTACTTTGTGGGTTTTTTGTTTTTGTTTTTTTGATGCATGCTAGGTACTGCTAGAATCTGTACCTGAGAGCTATATGAAACAGGGCAAATTACTTGATTTCTCAAATACTCAGTTCCCTCATTTTAGAATGAGATTAGTTTCTGTAGCTACATTGTAGAATCATTGTGGGAATAGTAGGAATTAATTAATGTGAATTATTAATAGATTAATGAAGTTTATCAAATGCCTAGGAAATTGGCAATGTACTAGTTTTCATTCTTATTATCCTCAAATAGCCTTTTTAGACAAGTAATAGTATTACTCTTTTTACAGACAAATGTGATAAAACAGAGAAACAAGTTATTTGTCCACAATCATAGAGGTGGTAAGAGATGGTAGCATTCAGATTCTCAACCACTCTGCAAACTGCCTCTGCTTTGGGTGAACAGAGAGAGGCAGGCTATTTATCTGAGCGCTGCAACACTGTGTTCATATTGAATCTTGAATCAAATCCCATTGTAGCTTGGTGAGAACGGTGTACCTTAGGCCTAAAGGTCAGGAGAGACTGCAAAAGAAAAAAAAATGGACAAAGGAGTCTGAAACGGCAGACCAGAGAGTAGGTTAAGAGTAGAAAGAGCAGCAGAAGAAAATGTGTAAATGACTCAGCTTGATTTTCCTTCTTACATTATTCATGTGGTTGGAAACGAGAGTGGTATTGCCAGCAGATGTGTACTAGGTTGTAGAAAAGGAGAGTCAGGTACTGGAATTCCTAATGTAGCTTAAGAAGGAGAGGAGAATCTATTACTTCAGATCCTTTTGGCTAAAAGTAACAGAAACCAACCAGAGGGAACTAAAATAATAGTAACAACAACAACAACAATAATAATAATAGTAGTAATAGTTTCTTGGTGGAACTACAATAGTAGAATATAGAAACGTGGAATAGTTTGCCATCAAAGATAATGCTATGCACATAATGAAGGGTTTGCCATTTTTTGGTATTTGCAAGGTGACATCCTACTGTGAGAGATTCATTTCTGATTGTAATCTCTTTTGTGTGTAATTTTGTTTTGATGATCAGATCTTTGCCTTAAATGGAGAGTTTTGCCTTCCTCTACTAATTATCAGAAAGAAGAATTTCTTGACACTTGGATTTGTGCTAATAATCCTAACCACTTGGAAAGCAGGTAGTTTTTGATGATTTTATGAAAGCTCTTTATCCATTTTTAATTCCTGCAGTCCATATTGTGGAACTGGAAAATGTTGGCTCTATAGCAAGAGCCTATGTAGCTGGGATCTCTTTGAACTCTTTCTAGTCTTGTGTTGCCTGTGAAAATACTATTATCAAAGTGCGTTTTTCCATCAGATGGAAGATTTGGATGATACACACTTCTGCTTGCAGCAGCTCACAGTCTCCTGAGCGCTGCCTTCCATCCATTTCTCCACAACATACGGCCTGGTTGTATGGGGTGTGACTCAGAGGGTGAACCAGGGCCATCAAACTGTTAGATCATGTGTTTTTTTCTGTGTAAGTCATGTATTGATTCCATTGCTTTGTGCTCCTGAAGAAAGACATCCAGACTAGAACAGAAGAAACAGTGATTAAATATTGATAGATGTCAATGGTGTTACAAGCTCTTTTAGATTAACATTTTTCCCCAGAGGAAAAAGAGTTACTACTCCCCTCTGACAAAGGCATCCCTAACCCCAACATTGCTTTTTCATTCAGTCTGTTCTAAAGTTCTTTGAGCTGCAGGGTAAGTAGTTCAATATTGCTAATATAAACATTAGGGTAATAACTCCTGTTTGGTTATTTTTGTCAAGCTCTGAAAAAAAAAAGAGCAAAAAAAGAAAAGAAAAGCATTCAGAAACTGCTGTCAAGCACTTTCTGCCTGTAGTCTCCAGATAAATTATATTTGGAGACTGGAGAAAAATGTCAGAGGTTTCAGGAGTTCTTATGTTTCTCATGGTCCAGAGTTGACTTCTCCCTCTCTCCTTCTCTCCCTCTCTCCCTCTCCCTCTCTCCCTCTCCTTCCTTCCTTCCTCTTCTTTTTTGTGATCTGTGTATTTTCCAAATAAAATTTGTCACAGAACGGAAATACATAAAACAGATAAATGTAGAACTGTCTTCTTTGAATTGAAGGCTAGAAGCTCAGGGACCAAAGATAGTCACTTCCAATTTCTGTTCCTTACTCACTGCAAAATGCCCAGAGCTCCAGGAAGCAGGATTATAAAACAACTAATTCAGTCTCAGTTTTGCACTTTAGGAAAGTCAGATTTAAAGCCTGTACCTGGGCTTAGAAACCTGTTTGTGGCACACAGGCCAAGATCTAACTACAAACCTGTTAAGTAACTCTTAACATCAACAAAACACTGGTTCATTCGCAATATTAAAAATAGTTAATAATACTAATTGCTTAACGTGAGCCAAGAGCTTTTTAAACAGCTTAGAATGGCTTTTAGAATCCAGACTCTGGAGCCACAAGGCCTGGATCTGACCCTCACTCCACCAACAGTGGAAGCCAAGGAGTAACCACTCTTCACCTCAGCTTCCCATTCCCTGGAATGGGGTGCTGTGATTGTATCTTGATTTATCTCCTCTGGGTCCAGCTGAACCCCGGTCAGAACAAGCTGCTGAAACTTCTTGTTGTCTGAGGTCTCCCCCGATGACCAGTCAGCAGAATCTAGGTTGCTTCCCACAGAGTTAACCATAGAGCTATGGTCCCTTAGACCACTCTGGAGAATTGTCAGCCACACAGAACTGGGAAGCTGCCCTTCCTCGCATTCTTTATTTTCAGTTCATTGATGTCTTTGTATGGATACACTTTCACCCTCTTCTCTTGAAAACAAATGATATCATTTCAGAACATTGTAGAGTTAGTTTCAAAGCTACCTTTGTTCTGTCTCTTACACATCAAAACCTTGTGACTCGTGAGAAGAGACAAAACAAATTCAGTTGTGTTGACAGAAAACTGATGGACCTTAAAACTCTGAAATGTGAAAAGCGCTTATATTTATAATTTTCTTAAATCTTGAATCATTAAATACACTGACACAATAGTTACCATCTGTATTAAATTTCCACTCAAAAGATTATGACACAAATTTGCATAACATGGCAGTAGGAGGTTTCGGGAGATATAAAAATACTCTCACGACTACACAAGCAGATAACTGGGAGTTGGCAGTTGTGTGGGGAGCTCATGGGTGTCCATAGGATGAGTCCAAGAGAGAAGGAGAACACATGTGGTGCGTCTCTGTCCTCTGATTCAGTGTTGTAGGCTGGGCCCTGCATCCTTGAGAATGTGCCTTTGTATCCATCCTGAGGTGTCTGTAAGTTAGATTTGGATAAGATCGTTTAGAAAAAATGCATTGAATGATGAGAATAGATATATAATTATTTATTAGGTAGTGTTCTATGACCATTGGCACAGAGCAGTGAGGTGATAAGTGGCATTGACTATATTTACAGAAAATATAGTTTGTTGCCAGCAGATAATTGCCAGCTGCCAGCAGGGTTAAGGCCAATGAACAACATTTGAATGAACAATGTTTTGTAACCAGAACTTGGGCCAGAAACATATTAGCTTCCTCTTCTACAGCAATTATATGATACGCCATTCTCTCTTTCCAAAAACCTCATGAGCTTTCCCCATTTCTCAGGGGAGAAAACAGAAGAAGATTTTGGTAACTTATCCAGGATTCCTCTCTAGGTCCCACACTAGAAGCCAAGAGCCCGGTACAAATCCCATCCCTTTCTGTCTGACCAGTGTCTCTCAGAAGGCATGCTGTTACATTTCAGGGAGCCCAATTTCATCTAAATACCTTTTAGGGACCAAAATACACCATTTTCAAATAGTAGTTTTCAGGGTCAGTTACCTGGACCTAGTAAAATGGAATTATTCAGTTTCAGAGTCTTAGGCCTTGTTTTGTTTTTCACTGAGCCCAAAGGGAGGTTACACGTTTTTCACAGAACGCAAGAAATGGGCATGGTACACTTCCTTTACATCTGCCATATGCATTTTTCTGCATTGAAAGTAGGGATCACCAGCAGGGTAAAAATGATGCCTGTTCCTTGGCTGAATCAGAAATGTTCAGACTTTGCAAAGGATGTTAAAAAATAACTACAGGTTATATTGCATATTGAAATGTAATTTATTTTCAAAAACCTTGAAGTGAAGAAAATTGAAAGGATAGCATTTTGATAAGAAAGGTTCCTCTTTTCTGATTTTTTTCTCTTTACAAATGAAGAAAAGGTCTATGTAGATACAACCTTATAGATGTCTTCAAATCCACAGTACAGACAGCTGTCTATATAGTAGTTGGTGCCGGGATTTGTTTACCAAGCACCTTTCTATTTTTTGAATGCAACAATAATAGCAAACACCATATGTGGTGGAAGTGTTTTTTCACAATAATATTTGAATCTGGTCAGAGCGCTCATTCCTCTCTATTAGGGGCATTGGATTTGGGCCCAGTGGGAATTAAACTTCTATCCACACCAAACCCTGATACCAGTGAGGGCAAATGATACCCTTTTTAGCAGTTTGATTAACTCAGCTCGTAAGACCATAGTCTTGAAAATAAAAGTAGGAGAAACAACAATGACCTCAAACCTTCAAAGCATACATCTCTAAGTCAGTATTTTTTTTACAGCTATAATGAGGGAAGTGTTCACCCATATCCATAGCCTGATTATTGTTCGTTTATTTATTTACATATGGTTCTACATGACTGTATAACACCCAAGGCTGGGAACCAGAGTGACTCCGAAGTCCAGATGCTTTTCCTGCAGCAGGGAGGGATGCTGCATTTGAGGTCATCGGGAGGTTTGGTGGGGCTGCTGTACAAGTCTCAGTACCCAGTGGCCTCACTCGGTACTGCAGCGCACACAGTCCTGGCCTTCTGGGTGAAATTAAGTCACTGAAGGATCTATGTGTGTTAGAGGTAGAGCTATTTGTTATATTTCAAAGAAATGTATAGAGTTCTACCCTAATTTTTTTTGCGGGGGCATGTTCAGCAGTGATGAGGTAAGCCTCAGTGATCAAAAAGCATTTCTGTAAAAGACTTCACTTGATTAAAATATAGACTAAGTGAAGCATTGGCAAAATAAATAGTATCCTATACTCATAAATATGTGTTATCCTCCACTTTCATCATTTATCTTTTTTACATTCAAATTGGAAATTCAAAGACATCAATATAATGATCTTTTGTATTTGATGTTTGGATATGTAACAGATAATGCAGAAACAAATCATTTTTTTACAGACAACAGGTAGCTTTATATTTTCTCCTGATATTAATTTTTTTCTTATTAATTGTGAAGTTGTCATGATGCAGAACGTCTGCCTAACATCCCCCTGGGCACCTTGAACATGGTGTTACCGTCAAGAAGCGAGAAAGAGAAACAACTTAGAGAGTCAATCCAGAGATATCAAAATAAATTGGTTGAGCAGCAGGCACAGGTGAGCTGTAATTATTTTTTCCAAATTCTATGACTGTTCAGCTGTTGGTTTCATATGCATAACTGAGTAATATAGCTTATCCAAATAAACTGTGTAGCCTGTTACCCCCTTCTTCTTTGTCATTTTCCTTTCATTTGTATCCATGATATATTCTAGTGGATGAATCAAAAGAAGGGAAGAAAGTTCTGTACAAAATTCTGCATGTGCGACATCTAAGCCAGGTACACAACATTGCATATAAGCAAAAGGAACATTTATTTCTACTCTGCAGTTGCACCTAGAGCTTTGTAGAACTTAGCTCACGCTTCTAACGTCTCATGGTCATGATGGGAACACAGGTCTGCACACTCCAAAAGATAGTCTTATTTTCTTTCTTTCTTTTTTTGTACCAGGGATCGAACTTGGGACCTATTGCTTAATAAGGCAGGCAGTGGAACCACTGAGCTCAATCTCCAGCCCCCAGATAGTCTATTTTCAGTTCATTGGGCTTCTTCCTTGAGACAAAGCATTCTTTAGAAGGTTTTAGCCTATTAATGCAGAAAGCCGTAGTCTCGTTTAACTGTAAAGAAAACTCAGTAAATAAGACATTGCTATTAATAAACAGGAAAACATGATAGTTTCCAGTGAAAGAAAATGTGGCATGTGAAAAATACCATTTTATTTTCTTAAGAAAGTAATTAGATTTCTATTTACTTTATAGACTTAACACCCAAATTCAACATTTTAAACTTTATATATAACTTGTCAGCTTCCTGCGATAGCACTTGAGAAAGCCAGCAGAGTATGTACAAATGCATTGACTTGCTATAACTGTGAGGAAGTAAAACACTCATTAGAATAGAAAATTCACTGGAGAAATGGGAGTCAAGACCCTCAACCTCAAAGTATTCCTGCACTTTTATGATGTAGAATTTTATCTCTTTACCTCTGCTACCTGGATAGGCATCTGGACTGCAAGTCACCCATCACTTGAGATAATGCAAATTCCTGACCCTCCATCAGCCTGCAGTCTTGGTCCCTCTGGGAAAGACACTGAGAATTACCTTGGAAACACATTCTTTTAAGCACCTGCACCTCCATAGTGAAAAAGTAGCTCAGCTCTCTATTTGTAGACCCTCTACTTGTTGTTTTGATAAAAGAAGACAGAAGTAAAGGTATTACAGGCTGTGTTACAATAAATAAGCTAGTATAGGTAGACTTTACAATTCTGGACTATCTTAATTTTGTTTTGTCTCTTGTTCAGTTTACTACCCCTTCTATCTTTGTGAAGGTTTTTAGTACATCTGGAATTAATTTCCTTTTTAGCCATCTCTGGGTGTTTTTTTTTTTCTTTCCTATAGAGGTCAGAGCTGACTCTTGGATATTAATAGTGCTAATCACAAAGACTTGATTAGCTTGTTGTTTGTTTGGATTTGGATGTATTATTTATTCTTACAGTAGAGAATTTGATGGCACCTGATGGACTAACAAATTAGGGATTCTGGTTCTGCTCATTCTCTTTCATGGTGTAGTTGGGTTTTCTATAAAAATGTCAGTTGTGGTTATAGATTCAGTTCATTTCAGGAGTAACAAAGAAATTTAGCCATACATAGAAATCTTTTGCCATTAACTAAAAGGATGTAAGAATCTTCACTATCTCCCCCTTTCCTTTGGTGAAAGAAAAAAAAAATCCACAAAATCTATTTGTGAAAATGGTCTGAGATTCTTTAACATACTTTCTCATTCTCAGTGCCCTTATTGGAACCAAATCTAGGTAATTGATTGGTTGTGAGATGGTCACTGAACACATATCCACCCTGGGGTCTGTTCCAGGCCAGGTAATTGGATGAGTTCAGTTTAACTGTAATACTCTCTTAACTCCTGGGCAGCAGGCATAGTCTTGGTTTTACTCACTGTGACTCCATATAGCCTAAAAGAGTAGTTGGCCTATAGTGTATTCAGTTGAATCAGTACATAAAATATCCCTTCCCATAATATGCATGCTTTTAGTGGACCAAGTCTAATAGTTACTTAAAGATGAACAGCCACTTTAATAGTATTTGTTCAATGCTTGTCTGACCATACTAAAAATTACATTAAAAGTTTACTATAAGGAGATAGCGAGGGAAACTTCAAAAGAAGTTTCATAGAGGAGTGGCTACTCAGGGTTTTGAAGTCTACTCAGGGTAAATACAAGGAAAGCAATAGAGCTTCCAGCTGAGAAGACGAACATAAAGTAAGACTTGGAAATGAGCCTTGACTTGTTGCTTTGTGGAAGCCAGTCTTTAAATTAATTGCTCAGTTTATGAGTTTATGTGCATCTATCTTGTTTCATTTAAAATTGTACTTCTGTTTTATTCCTTATAGATACATGTCAATTGTACTTATTAATAGGTTTCAGCATACTCTTTCTATATATGCATACAAGATGCAGTGATCAGTCTTTTCAGAAGCATCCGAGTGATACAGGTCTCACTTTCCAAACAGGTGGAGGGGCAGGCAGGGGCCACTAGTTGGGTTGAAACTCAGAGGGCAGCCCATAGCTGCCTGGTCCTGAACCTCCCATAATTTGACATGTTGGCATTGGCTCACCAGGACATCTCACCCCTGGGATGTTGATTTTTTTTTTTCAATTCAGTTCTGGATTTTCAAAATTCTCTCACTACAAAATGGGTTGAAAGTAATCCTTCGTTTCTTCTTGAATCATAAATAAGAATTTGTGCTAGAGAGACCATCACAGGGAACTAGCAAACATTCCAGAACCTTATTTCTCTTTGGCTGCCAGCATTTAATTCTGAGCCTTTGATGGACAGCTATGCTAAGTATGGATTGTGCGTGCGTCTGTCCTTTATAAATGGTGCAACTCGGTATGAAAATGTTCAAAAGCTGTATTTTGGGGATTCCTTCTGATGTCGGAAACAAGCCTTGAAACCACCCCTTGCTCAGGTTGAGTGCGCTGCCTCCTTGAAAGGAAGCGTTTGAAGAATGGGATGCAAGCAAGGACAAGAAAGCCAGAGAAGCAGCATCTGCTCTGCTCAGGCTCATTGTAGGTCCGGTTCATGTGTGCACGAGATACCCCTAGAAAATCAAGAATAAATCATTAAAACAGTTAGTGCACATTTGCAATACAGAACGATAACATCATGGGGGACTTGCACATTTATATAACACGTCTTAATTTGTGTTTTACCCTTCTCCTCCCCTCCCTCCACCCTTCTTCCCATCTCTATTTATAAAGCTCTGTTTCCATTTCCTTCTTTTTTCCTTTAGATCCCTTTTCCCTGCTTTCCCTCCCTTCTCCCCATTTCTTATTCCCCTTCCCATTTGAACAAGTTCTTCCTGTTTCCTAATATCTGTCCTCCATTTTGTTCTTATTCATACTGAAAACAATACAGTGTGTGTCTGACTTATTTTCCTAAAGATTATGGTTTCAAGGTGCATCTGTTTACCTAAAAATATCTCGTTTACCCTTCTTTACAACAGAGTAGTACTCCATTCTATATGAATACGTATTTTTCTTATCCTGTTCTTCTGTTCGTGGGCATGTGGGCTCTTCCCAGGATTTAGCTATTATAAATCGTGCTGCTATAAACACAAGTATGTGTATACCGTGGTATGATGCTTTTAACTCTTTTGGGAAGATACCCAGAAGGGGCACAGTTGAGTAAAATGGAACATCTAGATTCAGTTTTTTGAGGAATCTCGATACTAATTTCCATACCAAATTGATATATTGAAAATCATATTTGTTAAAAGAAATACTTCCGTTCAGTAAACTTAATAGGAGTGCTCATATTGAAGACCTGTGACATATTTTATAAAGGGATTACCCTTTATGTAATCGATGATCTGTGTTGAGAAGCCTAGACCCTCATAAACTGTGCCTTGGGAACAGCCCAGCCCATTCCAGTCTTTCTCCTGAATAGATGAGTGAGTAATCGGTACCTGACTCCCTCTCAGCTTCGTTCCTTTGCTGTTTTTTTATACTGAGTGGCAAGTGCCACCTGCTGGCCAATTGAAACATTTTCACTTTATTATCTGATTGCTGTCTGCTTGCTACCTGGCAAAATTAACCAGAAAATTGATGTTCTGGTTTTCAGTATACTACACAGTGATTTTAAAATCATAAAGTAGAACTATGAAATCACTTCTTCTGCATTTGAGACTCCTGACTCCTCTACTTGCCTCTTTCTCATTCCTCTTCCACCTTATTTCATGACAAGGGCAACTGCACACACATTGATATAATTTTACTACACTTCATTTGAGATCTTTTGGTACCTCCTAAAATCCATTTGATGCCATCAATCATTACAAAACATCATAACTTCATTCCTCAAGTTAAACTATGCAATTTTTACCCCATTATACCTACGTAATGTTAGTAACAGTATATCTGTACAATCAGTACGTTTGTGTAGTGGATGCTATATTGCTTACGTAGCCTCTCGGCCTTTCTGAATTAATCTGTTCAGTTATGGTGAATTCTCAGTCCACAGTCCATGCTCTCTCTGTTCTGACTTTGCTCACCTTCCTTTCTTCCTCTCTGCGCGGAGCTGGCCCTGGGCTGCTCTGTGTGCCCCTGTGTGTTCTCCATGCTCACACTCTGCGTGCCATTCACCTACCGTTCTTGTCTGCAGTGACCTCTGTCCCTTCTGCAGACTTCAAGTCCAAAACAAATGCAAAATCCAGTGTGAAGTCGTCTTCCATTTCCTTACTGATAAAAATATCTCCTTCTTCTTAATTCCCTTTGTTTTCTGTATGTCTTTTTTAACACATTTTTACTTTTGTCTGGTACCATAGTTACATGTATATCTGATCCATCTCCTGCATTGGACTATAAGTCCTTTGAAAGAAAAGATAATGTTTTACTTACCTTGGCATTTCTAGAAGTAGCAAGTCCTGGCTTTTTCAAGTTGTATTTCTCAGAGCATGGTGATGATGTATTTCCAGCGCTTGGAAGGCTGAGGCAGGAAGGTTGCTGTAAATTTGAGGCCAGCCTGGGCTATGTACTGAGTTCA